GAGAATCACCCAGGTGGACGTCTCTGGGGGGGGCGCATCTGTGCTGAGTCCCCAGGTTGGCAACTTTGGAGGGACATCTGTGCTGAGCCCCCAGGTGGGAGGTCTCTGGGGGAGGAAGTCTGCTTGGAGACCCCAGGTGGGCATCTCTTGGGGGGCACCTGTGCTAAGTCCCCAGGTGGGTGTCTCTGGGAGGCGGGGCATCTGTGCTCGGAATCCCCAGGTGGGCGTCTCTGGGAGAGGGACATCTGTGCTTGGAGCCCCCAGTAATTCCAGTATTTGTCAGGGCAAGAACCCACCTGAGGATGAATTCCATCCCCCAGCAGCTCCGGGCCTCTGTCTGTCCCTCTGGAAGTGGAAGTGAAGGCATCACCTCTCAGGGTCTGAGCCCCATGCCACCCAGCCCCTATGCAGGAAAGCCCGGTCCATCCAACCATGGGCTGCCTCCCCACAGGGTTGCTCTCTGGGGCTGGTCCTGGCTCACAGGGGAGGACACAGCTGGCCGTGTCTCACTCGCTGTCTGACAAGCCCTGCCCAGCCGGGGCGGGCGAGGACAGTGCCAGCAGCCCTGCGCTCCGTGGACTCTTTTGTGTGCCGGCCACGGAGGCCGCCCAGGGCCAGCCACTCACTGCCCACGTGGGGCAGCCGCTCTCATGCTCCAGTGGATGGTTGCCCTAGGGCGCTGGCCGCCTGAGCCAGTCACTCACGGAGCCTCACTCTCAGGGACAGCGGACTCTGGCCCCTCCTCCTTTTTTTTTTTTCAAATTCTAAGTCCATTGAGAAAACACAGCTCCAGGCCCTGCAGCCAGGAAGGAGCTCGTCCTCAGGGTGACTGAGGACATTGTGTCGCCGCCTGCTTCCAAGGGTCACAGCTGTGAGCTCACAGGCACATCCGCCACCCGCGCCTGGCTCACAGCAAGCCTGGTGGAGGAAGGACAACAGCGACGGTGACCACGACAACCACACGCAGGCTCCACGTGAGGGCACCATGGGGAAAGCCACCCCACCCTTCAGAACGACCTGGCCCTGGGTGGTAGGTGGGAAGAGGGAACAGGGGTTCGCCCAGGTGTTCATCAATAGCTCAGGCTGGATGTGAGTCTGTGAGTCTCCAAAGCTGGACTTTGAACTCCAGGTGCCCGGCTGGAGTCTGACGCCTCCTCTCCTGACACTTGTGCCGGGCTCAGAATGTGCCGGTGACCCAGGGCCATGTCCAGAAGGAGACAGTTGCCCCCTCAGGGCTACACCTGCACCAGCCACACACCAGACCCGCGTCTCAACTTGAGTGTGAGCGTGTGCACACACAGGCTGTGTGTGGCACGCGTAACCACGTGTGGAGACTGGGGCATGTTGGATCAGCCAGTCCCTTTCTCACAGTGGGGTTGAGCTCTAAGACCCCAGTTGTGTATGAGGAGCAGGAACCATCGCACCCACCCAGCACCTGGTCAGACACAGGACATGCCCGTGGAGGACCTGAACCCTCCAGGGAACCCTGTCTGTGCGGGAGGCAAGCGTGGGGCCAGACAGCCAGCAGGGCAGGGGCGGTGTTGACTTCAAGGTCCAGCAGACTGGGGTGGGCAGAGTTCTGGCAGCATCACAACTGCACACACACTCACCAAACCCTTTCCTCTCTCCCCTCACCCCTCCGTCTGCCTGTCCTGTCCTAGTAAAATGAGGCAGACGCCTTCCTGGGAGACACAGGTGTGTTTGGCCACACCTAGACTGGCTGGCCAGCACCCAGGGGTTGGGAATTGGTAGGAGCCAGGAACCATCTGTGCTGGCCCCAGTTATTTTTGTTTTTGTTTTGTCTGTTTGAGCTGGGGTCTCACTTTGTTGCCTAGGTTGGAGTGCAGTGGCACCATCATGAGCTCAACCTCCTGGGCTCATGCCATCCTCCCACCTTGGCCTCCCAAGTAGCAGGGACTTCAGACACACGCCATCACGCCTGGTTAATTTTTTTGATTTGCTGTAGAGACAAAGTCTCGCTATGACGCCCAGGCTGGTCGGCTGGTCTTGAACTCCTGGCCTCAAGTGATCCTCCCACCTCGGTCTCCCAAAGTGTTTGGATTACAGGTGTGAGCCACCACGCCTGGCCAGGCCCCAGCTTCTTTGTATGGGTCTCACCCTTCTGGCCCAACCCCTGGACTTTTCTCTGGACAGAGACCATGCACGTGTTGGTATCTCCCCCAATGTTGCTCCCACACCCCAAGGTGGAGGCTGAAGCCCCCAGAATGAAGCCATAACCACTCAACCTCATAGGCCTTAAGCAAGGCCCCAGAGATTGAAAATTTGCCCCGGGGCCACTACTGACCCAGCTGACCTCAGTAGATCCTTCAGCCTCAACCTCCTGAGTAGCTGGGGTTGCAGGTGTGCACCACCATGCACAGATAACTTGATTTTTTATAGAGACGAGGCCTTGTTATGCTGCTCAGCCCTGCCCACACCACGATGATTCCTTCATGGGACCCGATGTCGCCTGACAGCTCGTGGATTCGGCTAACACCATCCTGAATCCCACATTTCCTCCTGGCAACAGACCGGGGATAAAGTTAGCCCATGGGACACCGTCGACTAAGTCCTATGCTGCTGCTGGCGAACGACTCCTCAGGCCACTGGGGAGTGGTCACAAGAACCCCCAGACCTTTGACCCTGCTGTCCCCCAGCCTCCAAAACTGCACCTGTCCACCGGGGCCACAAAGTAACCACACAAAACACAAACAGTTATAAAAAAAACTGGGAGGAGAGAAATTGACCAAAATGCCAAGGAGAGCCTTTGTGTGACACATCAGACCACCACCACCCTGGTTTCTTCCTTGTAACTACTGTCTTCTGATTTTCCTGCAAGGAACCAGTGCTGCATTATGATACAAAGAAGTAACTGTCAAAACTAACTCATCCTAGGCTGGGTATGGTGGCTCACGCCTGTCACTCCAGCACTTTGGAAGGCAGAGCTGAGAGGAGTGCCTGAGCCCAAGGGTTCGAGACCAGCCTGGGCAACTTGGCAAAACCTCATCTCTACAATAAATCATAAAAATTACCCGGGCATGGTGGTGCACACCTGTAGTTCCGGTTACTTGGAAGGCTGAGGTGGAAGGATCACCTGAGCCCAGCAGGTCAAGGCTA